ATCGCTGAGAGAGGAGTTCTACAGCGCCTTGTCGACTGTATGGAAAGATACAACGAGAAGCGGAGTTCTATGCTTCATCGCTGGAGACTTCAACAGCAAAGTTGGAATTCGTAAGAGAGCTGATGAAAGTAAATGGCTAGGCTCCTTCAGCAGAGGCGCCAGAAATGATAACGGACAACACATGTTGGAATGGTCAATTGACAATGATGCCTTCTTGGCCAATACAGCTTTTCAACACCGCCAGAGCCACCGCACTACATGGACGGGTTGGCGGCGACCTGGGAGTGGAGAAGTTGGCCCACAACCTGTCTACAACCAGATCGATTTTGTTCTTTGCCGTACGCAACACAAGCCACTGCTGTGTAATGCACGTAGCTATGCAGGCTGCGAGACACCAACGGACCACAGAATAGTCATTGCCACACTGCAGCTTCGTGCGTTATTTCCAATCTGGCGGAAGGGAAACCAGACAACTAAGCGTAGCTTCAACACGTCGATGTTTACTCAGAACCCCCAGGTCTGTAGTCAATTCCAGGAGGAGGTAGACAAAGCACTGGCAACGCAACAAACGCAGCAGGGAACTGTTTCAGCTGAGGCACGTTTCGGAGGTGTGAGGGATGCACTGGAGTCGGCTGCAACAAAAACAGTTGGATATAAAAAGAGAGCCGAATGTAGCCGAAAAGCCCATGATCCTGGCATAGCCCTTCTATCAGCCCAACAAAAAGAACTGCGGGTAAAAATCGACTCGACAAAATGCCCAGACGGGAGGAAATCACTGAAACGCGATCGGAATCAGATATTACACCAGATACGAGATATCGCCCGGAACAACTCTGAAGCCCGCCTGGACTCCTTCGCTCAAGAAGTAGAGAAGCTGAAAAACAATGCAAGGGTCTTCCAAGCAGCCTCTTTCCTGAGGCGGCAGTCTCCCGCGCCATTGGTTGTTCATGACGCTCTTGGACGGATAATCGCCAACGATAAAGAAGCGGCAGAGAAGGTAGCTGACCACTTCAGGCAGCAGTTTCGGGATCCATCCGCAGTAAATGATATTCTGAGACCGCTGGGCTCGAAGTATCTTGAAGATAGGATCAGCGCTGCGGAGGTTGCCCTGGCAATTAGATTACTGAAATCGCAGAGGGCAGCTGGGCCGGATGGCATCCCCGGGGACCTGTTCAAGCATGCTGGTGAGAGGGTCGCACATGAGATCGCTGCCATTCTAAACCAATGTTTTGCGGATGGCAGTGGAATGGATCTTGGATGTGGAACACTAATCCCGCTCCCGAAACCAGGGAAACCCAGAGGGCCGCTAACCAGTATCAGGCCAATAATACTCTTGAACTCTATACGCAAATGCCTGTCAACAATCACACTTCGCAGGATTATGCCAAAGATTGACTCCTACCTATCTCCAACCCAGAGCGCTTCCCGTCCGGGTCGGAGTACCGCGGATATTGTCTGGTGTGGCCGGTGGCTGGCAGCCAAGGCTGAACGTTTCAAGTGGCAATGTACGGTCCTCGGAATGGATATGAGCAAGGCGTTCGACACAGTGCAGCGGGGAAGATTGGTGGAGGTAATGAAACAAATAGTTAACACAGATGAGGTACGAATGGTGGAGATGTTGTTGCACAACACAAGGCTAAGAGTGAAGATAAAGAATGCGCTCTCGGCAGAATTTCCAACATCAATAGGCATCCCACAAGGAGATAGTTTGTCGCCGGTGCTATTCACCTGTTATCTCGAAGCGACAATGCGTTGCCTGCGTCCCAGGATATCGCCAAGACCTGCCATACTGAATATTGGAGGGACAGCCTACACGACTGTCGATATGTCCATACCTTGCGAAACAGCATACATGGACGACGTTAACCTGTACTCCACGGACCGTCACCATCTAGCGTGCGCACTAACAGAGGCAGAGGTAGTGTTCAAAGAGTGGAACCTCAACATCAACCCTACCAAGACCGAGTGGACCCATCTATACCAAGAAGAGGATGTTGCAAGACGAGGTGAGGAACGATGGAGGTCCACCCGGTTGCTTGGTTCACTGTACGGAGTCACAGAAGACCTCAAGCGCCGGCGCCAGCAAGCCGCAGCTGCCTTCAACACACTTGTCAACCTGTGGATGCGGAGACAAGTTATCTCTGAAGCAACCCGCCTGAGGTTGTTTGATGCATTTGTGCTATCTATTTTGACCTACAACTGCGGCGTGTGGGTACTTTCATCCCGGGATGCTACAGCAATGGATGCGTTCCACAGAAAGCAGCTCCGCCGTCTATTAGGGATATCTTACCCGGAAATTATCTCCAACACAGACCTATATGCCCGCTGCAATGCCGACCCAATATCCGTACTAAGCAGAAGAGCACGGTGGAAACTGTTTGGTCATATTCTACGCCTCCCTGAAGCAACTCCAGCACAGGTGAGCATGACAGCGTATTTCCAGCGACAGAATCGGGGCTGGCTCGGACGCCCGCGCATCACCCTACCAGTGGTGATGGACAACGAATTAGCTAAGGCAACGTCCATGCGTCTCCGGAGTCTGAAGGACCTTGAGACACTGCGTTTGGTGGCTCGGAACAGGCAATCATTCAACGATATAATCGCACAGGTCACATTGTAGAGTGCAGATCACCTAGTGCTTTCAACAATAATAACGTACTTCCACATTATGGGAATTTGGTATAACCCCACACCCGTCATTGTTGAATATTCGATAATAGCGTGGATTTCCCCAACAATAATTATATTTTCATTTTTTGTTATCCTCTCCCATGCCGTTGTACATAAGCGGCTTGCCGCGGATATGTCAATACTACTACTACTCAAAATACTCGATTGATGGATCAATCGGTACCAACGCATTTGTCACTCCGATTATTAACTTCGGCTCTGCTCTGTTTTGTTTTGAACTGTATACGTATATTTAACTCATTGTATTTCTTTGTATTCTGTATCTCGTTATCGTTATCTTTTCCTCTAGCCCTCACGCTTAGGATGAGATTTCTTTTTTTATGGCAGCTTAAGCGAAGGCTATATACCTGCTTTATGCAGGTTGATGCCAACGCGAACAAGCAAAATAATAATAATAAGGAAAAGGACATAAGGATACGAGTTATGAGTAACTCTCCATCACGGTAACTGGATACTACAGTCCATTCAGAAAAAGATGGACCCTGGCTCTGGCGAGCTCCCGTATTTGGCGATTATTCGTGATTTCATTGACACAGTGCAGTGCTGCGAAATTTGAACTTTGAAAAAGAGTCCAAAAGGGTACCTGAACTGGGTTTGAACCCCCCAATACCCCACAATGCACTGTTGCAGGCAGGGTCAAACCGCCTGGTTTTTGATGGTTTTCCCAATTCAATGCTTCTGGGACAAACCCTGGCCGATATCCTATTCTTGTTATGGCTTGCTTTTTGGACAAATAGACTTCGGAAACATAATTGGAAGAGGATTCCATAGGGGATTGCAGAAAAATATTCTAAAAAAACCCAAAGTTTGACCCATTTATGGCCAAAAGCAAGAAGTCCATCTTTTTCTGAATGGACTGTATAAATGTTGGTTTGCGTTGCGCAAACCGTAGTTAACCTACATGTCACAGAGCCGCATCTCCCGCATGGAGATGCCGTCCGCAGACACGCCAAAACCGGCTAAGTCTCATACGAGCTCCGCTAAAGTCGTACGCACTGCCGGGCTCCCGCGCGGGGCCCCACGCAAGCATTCGCAACCGCGATGCGCGTACGGCATGCCGTATAAGCCACCTATCCGCCTTGGGTGCAAGCTCACCCAAGGCCACCCTCGCAAGGCAGGAACACGTAAAGACATTCACCAGTTGTTTGTTGTGCCTGCCCGCCGCAGAAATTGTTTCCCACCCTCCCGCACCGTTTAAAAGGCAGGAGGCACGGGTGCTGCCGATGGGCGCCGCATAGTGCACGCACATCGGCACCATTGAACTATTCATGTGTACTGAGATTTAGTGTTCCGCTGCCATAGCAACCTAGTAGTACACGTAGCCGTTCCGACGGCGCACGACCCCGCGGGTCGCTTCTGCTGTCCTTGCCTCTCTGATGCGTGATATGTGTACATCATTTATAATCATGACCTCATACTGAGTACATGTACGTCATACTTGATTACCGATCGCAGGCTCATGATTATTCATGCTGGAATAAACGCTTGCGACACCCCACAGGCTCGTCTCTCTTGTGTGGCATGAGGGTTAATATACAGTCAGAAAGTGCAATAATTAGGCACACAACTGACAAGAGTACTGAGACATTCGACGTGCTGACACCTAGCTTCAACACATCTCCGTAGCGCTAACCGACAGCCTTCCAACTTGGAAGGTTCAAGGTTATGGAAAGACCAAAGAGGGGAAGGCAAGCGCAACGAAAACGAGCAATAGCTACAGTCCCAACGGAACAAAGAATGTCGATTGTTAATGGACGATGACGAGACCAGTACGACATTTGACAAAGCGGTCTAACTACAATTCGAAGCAGCAAAGCAGCACACCACCCAACTTGGGTGCGGGCTTGGGACTAGTTGGTTTGGAGGTGACAGCGTTGCGAATGACCAAGGGTTCTCGACGTCTGTCTCACCGTCCAGGAGCGACACTGACTCACGCTGCTATCCGGTGTTCACGAGGTGTTTGTCGCGCTGGAAACGGAGCGTCTCTGTAATTTTGTATCCCTGGTGATGTTTGTGCCTGGAGAGCACTATATAAGTGGTGCTCTTCAGGCACAATCTTCCTCAGCCTACTCAAGCTAAACTGATGAGGGGTGAATTCCCCGAAACACTGTGTATTGAGCAGGGAGTGGTGCTTTCTTGCAGGTTTGCCGAGTCGAAGGTTCGATGGACTTCTCGTGTGCTCTGGATGGCAGTCGTGAGTCAGTCAAGTGTCAAGTAAAGTCGGCGGAATAGCGCGAGCTCCGGTGTGGGGAGCAAACCCTTTCTTAAATAGAAAGGTGTTAGAAATAACGTCAAGATACAAGTGCAATAAAACCACTAGAGGAAACGCAAAAAAGGTAACAAGATTACATAACCAAAGGCGAGAAGGCACTGAACGAAGTGTCACGAATATTTTTGTTATAAAATACGCAGTAATACAATCATGTCAAACAAGTAACGTAGTTGTGTGATGTCTGCGGCCTTCATCCTATTCATAGCTATATGCCTGACGTGTGTCGAATTGCTTCCGCTCAACGCCCTTCAAGTTCAGGACGGCCGTGAGGCGTTGGGAGCGCAGTCCCTCTATTGATGATATTGATGAGCCATAAGACAGTAGGTAATACCTTGTTGCAGCCAGGTACACCTTGATAGTTGCTGCTGACACGGTCTGCGACAGTGATGTAATGAACCGGACAATGTCTCCATTACTGGTGTACTACAGTACTAGCTGTGCTAGTGTAGCGTGCGTGGTCTAAGGCTAGGAGGCTACTACCCACAGTCAGTCAACTAACGTATCAGAACTTACTCCGGCACGGCCTGGAGGTTATCTTATATCAATCGTAAGTGAACTTGCTCTCGAATCAACCACGACTCTTTCGTATGAGTTGCAAACTAGAGAACTTATACAGAATATAACAAGGCCGTTGGCAAGGGGGCCAGCTAGGAAGCTTCAGCTGGTGTCTATTGCGGGAAACAAGCAGCAGGCAGAAAAACAGCTAAAGAATGTATGTGATAGTGTAGCAAGCAACCTGGAAATGCCATTGATTACTCGCAGCACGCCTCAGTGCTACAAAGGAAGCATTGGAGCATGAAACTGATATCGCAGTGAAGATAAGTCCATACAACTGCACAAGGACCTCTTGCAAATGAAGCATAGTGGCACAAGTATTGTATTTGGAAACAATGAAGACTACTGATAGTGTTGGTCTAGCTACTCTCCAGTGTGTAGTGGCGCCATGCAAGGATCATGGAAGAACAATCGTAAATGTAGGAAGTACTGTATACTGTATACTTCTAAACAATAAGAGTCATGCAAAATACATGTACTACTAGTCATGTGTAAACTGTAAAGCAGGGATACTACACCAGCACTTGTTAGCAACAATCCGAACTAGCGCACACACTGCACTGCATTGCTTTGTACTGCATTCAAGACTGACGTCATGCGCTTTGTTTTTGCTGCGGAATCACATGGCACCAGCCCGTTTTGCTGAAAAGAAAAACAAATCTTGCTTGCCCTGTTGTGCTCTTCCAGACAACGGATCGTGCTTCAGCAGTGTTTCTTTTCCTTTCGTAGCTTTGCTGCCAGCCCGAGTGTCACCTCCACACTGTATTTCTTCAGTATGTCTGACCTAACTGTCGACACTGTCTAGGCAATGCCTGGCAAAGCCCTCCGCGGCGAGCTTTCTCAGCGCGGCTTGAATCCGAAAGGAAACTTAGTAGAAGTATTTTACAGAACCCTCTGCTGGCACAGCTAGCCCGTTGTAGTGAGGGCCCAGCTCAGGTGTGCTCCGTCCAGGAGAACCAACAACATGACAGTGCGGACACGGCTCGCGAGCCCAGAAGCCCGACTGGCACCAATGCCTCCTCCGCCAGCTCAGGTGACGCGGGCTCAACGGATCTCTGCGCTCTCGTAGATCTACGGGACGAGGTGTAGTAGGCTTTGTCGGCGGCCATTATTATTATCGGAGAGCATTGTGCCGCTCCTCACCCGAGGCCAAGGCAATGCGGCTGCTGCCGCCACTACGCCAGGCCAAGCTCCTGTAACCCACCCGATCAGCCACCTGCACCAGCTGTGCTCAAGGCTGTGCAAGAAAGTATCTTGCGAAGGGAGTTCGTAGATTTTCAAGTTTGTTGCCTGAAATTCTTGCACACTTCCGACCCAACATTCCGGCTGGTGCACGGACCGAATAACGATAGCCAGCTGAACATCGTTGAGTCGGATGACGCGAAGCAGGTGCGTCGCAGGGTTCACGATAATTATACATGTAGCTACCCGGCTCGAGGCATGAACTACATACATGTCTGTTATCACGGCTGCTGCGCTACACCGCACTGCTGAACTGCTGAACTGATTGCGTACCAGCAGTTGATCCAGACTGTTAACCGCCAGTTCTTCCCAAGCGAGTGGCTAGAGTACAACCGCCAGCCGCGGATGCTCGTGGCCCAGTAACCAGGCACGAAGAGGTTGGACACCATCGACGTGAACCTCTGGCAGATAGCTGTCACAGGCCATGCACACCCAAAATGCGCTCAATGTAAGACGGTCCATCCAGGGGCGGTTTGTGTCCTTTTCGTCCCCAAGCCAGCAGCACTTACCTCCAGTAGTCGCAACCATACCAGCGACGGCCAAGTAATGTGCCGCAACTTTAATTGAGGTCGCTGATCTTCGTCGTCGTGCCGCTTCTCCCACACCTGCAGCCAGTGTGGCAAGGACCACACATGTATCATGTGCAACCAGCAGCAGCGCGGAGCCAATCGGCCACCTGCCGCTCCTAGCAGAATGGCTACTGAATCGCTTGACTCGGTACGTAGCTTCTTTCCTATACACTCTGCAGACACCACAGTGCTAGCTGACCACTTTGCCCGCCTGTTACGTAACCACTCAGATCAATAATGTGTTGCGTATGTTTCCATGGCCTGCGCCGTGGCTTTACTCTTGGATCTGCCGGCCAACACGACATTTCCGTTTTGTCCAATAATCTACCCTTGGCTTTCACTCACTCGGCATCTATATCCGAGCAATTAGCTGCTTCCTGCGCCCGCAGCGAGACCACAGGCCCATTTCCGTCACCTCCACTTCAGTTCATGCGCCGCTCTCGTATTGGTGCCATCCCCAAAAAGAACGGCAAGCTGCGAATGATCCACCATATCTCTAGTCCGGAAGGCACCGGCGCAAACAACAGCATTCCTGCCGAGCCGCTCTCTCTGCCCTATGCGAGCATTGACAACGCGATCAACATCATCATGTCATGCCCACAGCCTGTGTATTTGTCCACGTTTGATGTACGCAGTGCATTTCGGCAGATCCCAGTCCGCCTTCAGGACTTCTCTGGGAAGGCTCCTACTACTACGAGCGATTTCTGCCTTTCGGCCTCCGCCCCAGCCCAGCCGTATGTGACTCAGTAGCCACAGCAGTCAACTGGATCATACAGCACGAGTTTGCTATAGATCACCGGCTTCCTTACCTCGATGACTTTCTTTATATCTCCACTGGTTTGGCTGCAGCCAACCAGCAACTCACCATCCCCTCCGGCAATTCACGTATCCTGGCACTCCTTTTGCTCCATCCCAGCTCGAAGGGCCATCACGATCATTGACCTTCCTTGGTATTGTCCTAGACTGCGAGCGCCACGATGCTCGGCTACCAGAGGACAAGCTGTCCGAGATCCGTGCGCTACTCATGGCTGCAATCAGTGAGCGTAGCATCGACCAGCGTCAACTCGAGTCCCTCCTGGGGAAGCTCACTTTTGCTGCCCGAGTCATCGTTCCTGGACACACATTCATGCGTGAACTATGATCAGCGTGCCCTGAACTGTATCTGAGTATGCGAGTGCGGTGCATAAAGCCCACCTTGAGAATGGGTTTGCCGGCCCCTTAGTAGATGCGTGGCTTCTGAAGAGGGTGTTGAAGGGCATCCAGCGATGCCATGATACGGCTGTACTCACCCCTCGCCTTCCTATAACTCTGCCAATCCTACGACACCTGACAGATGCACGCCGGAAAAGTAGTATCCTGAATGGCCATGACAAGCTGCTCCACCAAGCCGCCATGCTGCTTCTTTGGATTTCTTTGGTGTGCCGAATTCACTAATGGCATCACACGGGGCTGTACTAGCTCCCCTGGTGACGGACGCCTGCAACTCTTCCTGCTTTCATCCAAGACAGACCCATTCGGTAAAGGCGTTACTTGTGACATTGGCCCGTCTGTACCGCCGTACTGCCCGGTCCGTGCCATTGTTAGCTACCCATTTGTCACTCGTCGCTAGGGACAGGAGCAACTCTTGTTCGTACTCTTGAACAGACAGCAGGTGACCAGGCAGTCATTCACATTAAAAGTATGATCTCTTGTCGCTGCGACTGGTGTACCATCCCAGTCGAACTACTCCGGGCATTCAGTCCACATTGGTGCAGCCACCACCGCTGCTATGGCTAACGGAGTGCTGGTTTCATGGGTCCACTCTCACAACGGGTGTTATCTAGCTATTTGCTGCGGCTCTGCCTTGCGCTACATCCATTTAGCATTGCAGCTCTACGTTGAGCTAACAGCAGCTCGACTTTGAGCTAGCAGCAGCTCTACTTTGAGCTAACCGCAGCTCTACTTTGAGCTAACCGCAGCTCTACTTTGAGCTAACAGCAGCTCTACTTTGAGCTAACAGCAGCTCTGCTCTGAGCTAACAGCAGCTCTGCTCTGAGCTAACACCAGGTCTACTTTGAGCTTCAAACCAGTTGTTTCGAAACCAGCACTCCTCAATCCAAAGATGCCTCTTTGTTGACTTGTTTGTGTGAGGGATGGGGCTAAAGCTGTTTGTACAGTGATTTATGCTCGTTTAGCATGAAATGTGTCACAGTCACACGCTTGAAATTTCAACTTCACCTCTTTCCTGGACTTCGAACTTCGGCGCTTGAGTATTGTACTTTGCGCTATATCGAATGAAACATCGGTGGAAAGCTGCTTTCAATACTAGTAGCTTTCCAATGAGCCGTCATAATAATTATGTTGAATTTGAAGTAGGCAGACCGAAGTTACAGCTGTTTGTACAGTGCTCTATGCTCCTTTAGCATGAAGTGCGTCACGCTTGAAATTTCAACTTCACCCAGGCGCATTCAACCGTGATCTTCTAGAAAAAATGATGTGCAGCACACGGTTTTTTCGATGGTAGGTGATTCCGTAAGTTTTCAGCAGTAGTTTGCGATTATTCCGACCGCGGTGCGGCAAAAGACCATGGTTTACAGAGCGAAAATTCGACACATTCGCACTATGTACAGCATCAAAAAGTCAGTAATTCGTAGTACCGGTTGGGTAGCTAGAAACACAAACTGAACTGGACCTATAGTGTCATGCGACTAAGCTGCCATCTGTCTCTTCTGCTGGCTACCTCGGAGTGCACATTGACATCGCCCCTCGTCTTGGAACACCCAGTTGGATAGGTGCGTTGACCGCCTCCGCAAGAGTCGGTGTTCTGTGGCGGATGCGCTGCTGCCTCATCATGCAAAGCCGCATCCAATACTTCAAGTCTGCGATCATGCCCGATTTCTCGTATGGCTCCAATGCCTTCTCAGCATCGCTGGCGGGTAAGCACCTGGACCGTCTCCAAGTTCTGCAGAATCGTGCGGGTCGAGCTGTGTACGGATGCTCGCCGCGCACCTCTGCCAGAAACCTGCTACTCCAACTCGGCGCCTACTGTGTCCGGGAGATCTTCATCCAGAAGCTGATCTTCCTAGTTTGGCGCTGCGCCTACTCCCGTGCCAGTCCTACACTGCAAGTGCTGTTGCTAACCAACCAGTGGCGCTCCTACTCGGCTCCAATCATCTATGGGTCTAAAACCACCGCCAACGCG